CGCCGCTCGGCGATCGAATTATCGCCGTCAGAAATTGTGAAATCGCTATGTCTTGCGGGAATGTCCACTGCATACTCGTATGGATTACTGGTCAATCGCGCCCAGACCACAGGTTGGCGCTGCACAGAAATCAACTGGTTTTAATTCTGATTTGACTTTTCGGCTGGCAATTGCGTTAACATTGGTTGCCGCGCATCATCGCGCCCAACATAGACTAAGAGTTGTAAAGTGCGAGGCTGCACACAAAAAGTATGATTTTACTGATAATTGTTTGCAAATCGTGTGCGGGCCACTCCATAGAAGAGGTTCGGCCTTAATACAAGTGGCGGTAATCAAAAGAGTTAGCAACCGACCAACAATTTTGTGTCGAGTATATTGCTCGTAAGTGACATGGAGCCAAGACAGCTACCAGGTCTGGTATAACTATCACCAAGTCCGTCGCTAGGTGGTATATTTAATGCGTATTCGATATTTCTGTTACCAAGGCGTGACAAGGTGCAACGAAGACAACGAGCAATCTCAAAGCAGGTACCTGCTAAACGGTGCCAGTCTTCAAAGTTGTCAGATGCGCATCCGTTTGCGCACTATAAGCCGCACGCACAAACTCGCCTAGCGGAGGAGGCATGTCGCTGCTGGAACGAGTACGAGACGATGTAGGAATACGTGGTTCGTAGAGTTGGATGTCAGGGCGCTATCCTTAGTCACCATACTACGTGGCTACTACGCATACGACTACGATTCTGATCTGGATTACGTTACTTTGGTCATGATCTTTGGAGAGATTTCGGCATGTAGATGCAGTTTTTGCTGAAATATGCAGGATACAATCTCTGGCACGAGTAATCTCTAAGGATGGAAATCAGAATAAATTAAAAACAAGCTTGTATTTTTATGCATCCGATCAACTCTTTGTATTAATTGCTGTGTGCTAGTGTCTGGGTTGTTTGATGAAAAGAACTGTAATCTGAATTGAGAATGCATTGAATGAATGAAGGTGAAGATGAATGATAATCAGTAGATTGACATGAATCTTCGCGTCGCAATTCGTTTTTGGATTTCACCTCTAAACTGAGGATGATGGTCATGATTCCATCATCAGATCCGTTAGCGTAACCCCGTGCGTCCTCCGTAAATTACGCTCCAAGAGCATATGGAGAGCACTCCAATGGAGCTCTCCATGCATCCTTTTTACAGGATGTGTTTTTAGTGGAGCTCCATCATGCGTCTCTTAAGGGTGGTGATTTTTTAGTGTGTAGCCTCCGTCATCGATGCTCTCTAAGGGTTGATGATTATGGAGTTGTTGACTAAAGACCACCCTACTGGTGTCCTGCAGGGTAGTCATTAGTAGTTCGCTCGATCTGTCTGTTCAAATTCTGATATATCTCTGACCTGCACTGTACCCTATGGATATTAAGTTTCCGCGTAGTTTAGCCTCAAATCTAACATTGGGGAGATTGGTTTTTGCGAGCTGGCGAAAACAATTTTCTAAATAGCTACGCGAGTTTATATTAATGAGAGCTCGGTCTATTGATCGATACCGCGTGATCGCGTGGTCAGGTGGATTAGTGCTAAGCTGATGAGTACCGTTGTGGCGAGCGGGAGCCTGCGATCATACCGGATAACAGCAGCTATTGGGATCTGTCCAACGCTGGGATTTGCTCCCAATTAGTGTCAACGGATCTCAGCAAGATGGAAGATGTCAAAAATTAGATCGCGTGGGGGAAAGCGAGATCTATGGCTGCGACCTCTAGTAAGGAAGGAGGAATAATGGCAGCGCTGGGTGTACGACAAGGAGATCGTCAGCTTTATCAAACGATACCAGTCATCGACAACACCAATTGTCTTGAGAAGGACGGGAGTTCGTTGTCGTGACTGGCCTCAGCGGTGATGCCTGGCATTCGTTGATCAACCGTCAGTTCGTATAGCATCATGGTAACGTGAAGAAGCCATTACGCATGATAGGTGACCGAACGCTTGGAGTGATGCACCAGCGTGTCACATGCGTCAATGGGCGTCAGGAGCCGATGTTTCTTAAGGGATCCTAATATTAGTCTGAGGACCACAGTGGGTTCACTTGGATCGGAACTAGGCGCATTTGGAGAGTAACTTCTTTTGTTTCACAGCGTGACCTAAGTTTCTGTCCTCGTGGCTTGGATTCGCATAGGATGGGTCGTCACTCAGTGACTGTCGCCTCTAGCGCGGGACCACCGCTAAGAAGCTAGTGTCAGGCTACCCCGCTTCCTGCCCTGTCAAAGGACGCGGAGGAGGGTAAAAACAGTAGGCGATGTTGTGACCTGCTGTCAAGCGAGACAGCAGCTAAGTCGCATACTGGGTTGACTAATTACAGATCTCGCCACCCGCTGTACCGCGAGCCCATCGACTACGACCCTCCCCCTCGCCCGCCCTACGCCTCAGATCCCCACCAACCGATTCTATTCTATGGTGTTAGCCCCAACCCTCGGTGACTATATCCACTGGCCTGCCCTGGCATCACGCTCATATCTCATGCTCCCTCAAGCTGCCTCAACTTGGCAGGTTCTACCAGGCAGCTCTCGAACGTGCACTATGCTCCGCCCTTCCGCGTTATCCCCAATACCATTCTCAAATGGTGGAATAATGATACGTAAGTCTAGTAGTTTTACGAGAGACGACCTTAACACAACACCTAACTAAGCGAAGACGGACGAGCTAACCATAGATAAAGGTACTTGAATAGGCATCATTGGCCTCACTACTTCGTGTCTATGCATGTCAGTTATGTTGATGAGGTGCAGACGAGACAAAGGAGCGTGGAGATCGGAGGCGTGGGATAGGGCGGGAGAGGTGAGAAGGCGAGTACAAGCTGCAACACTGGGGGACAACCAGGGTAAGTGTTAGCGCTTGGGATGAGGGAGCTGATCAGTGGCGGCAGGGGACCATGTCTACAATGATGTCTCACAATGCAGTTGTTTAATAGTTTTCCTGCATAATTGTAGCTAGTTTACACTCACGTAATCCATGTTGTTTAATTCACTTACCTTTTCTTATCGGTGACTAATAAGTGTAGATACAAACACCTCCGCTATCACTTTATATACTCTTAAACTGCGCATAGAACCAATCCTTGAGCGAGCGAACATAAGGAGCAGAAAAGTGACAATTTCAATTATCTGTTCCGACCAATCAACCTAGCCATGAAAATTGCTAGCTCATCCAACTGAAACATACAATAGCCAATCATTTTGCAAATTGCGTACGCACGTGCTGAGTCAGTGATTCATCACACAGAAGAACGTTCTTATATAACACGAACTATGAGCCATGTCAGTGAACATCCTTGTGGTAGACTGCGCGAATGAGACACTCGGTCCTGGCTGGTAAGATTTTCGTGCTACGAGCGCGCGTGACTAGCTTATCCACTACCATATGACCACACCAAGCGACTTATGCAGCCAGAGCCTAGCGTGTCACCGCACTCGCGTCCGTGTAGAGACTGTTGTGCGATCGGCTATCGTCATCCCCCTCATACTGTCCCCTATCAAGAGTGTAAGGAGTTGAGTCATTCAGTCACCACCTTTTTTCCCTCCGGTACGCTTCCTCGAGACGCTCTGCACCCCCGAAGCTCGACATCCCGCACTCGTTTCCGATGTACACGCCGCTTCAACGTCCCGAATAGTCCGGTGTTCAATCCTATGTCAACGTGCCAGGCTCGTCGATCTGTCCGAGCGACTGTTATAAGTATGATATAGTGCCACTGTGCATACGGCCCTGGGAATCACCCGTGCGGGACGCACGCACGGCCCACGGAAGCACGGACGCCCGGCCATCATGCGAATGCTACAAGCTGCAGCGCTATGTGGTCATACTGTCAGATCGCGGTCTCAAAAATGAGTTGATGCTCAGTCATAGGCTACTGATCCATCTCATACTTGCTTACTACACGGATTACGCATCTGCTATCTGCATCCAGCGCCCCTGATTATGCTGTGGGCTGGGACGATTCGGTCTCAGCCCTAACAGTTCTAACTCCGTCACCTGCACGCCTGATAACGACAACGACCTGCGCTTAAGCCGAGCGCCAGACTTGCGATGTTTGGTTTTTGCTCTCGCGCCTGCAACAACAGCCAGATAACTGCGATCGCATTATGTCACACGGCCGGCATTGAGTACGCCCTGTGAAGAGCGCGTGGTTGCGCACTACATGTTGATTTGAAGCAATTCCAGACCAGAGAATTTGTCATTACGTGTGCTTCCACGTGTTCTTATCTTCCCCTACGCAGGTAACCGTTCATGATGTCAGCACGTGCCACCTGTCTCTTTCACGCAGCGTAACTCGTCCATTATTTGTCACCGTGCTAGCTGTCCCCACACAGGTAACCGTCATTTATGTCAACACGCGTTTGCCCTGTCCCTAACCAGTAACGTCCATTATGTCACACGTGGCCTTACTGTCCTTACACAGGTAAGTCATTCCCATTCTGTCACACGTGCCACTGTCCTCGCACTTTGATTTTGATTGCTATTCGAGGTCCCGTCATGCATGTCCAGTGCCAATGTCCCCTTACGCAGTAACGTCATTCCGTACAACATTGTCCACTGTCCCGAAGCGGGTAGCTGTCATTAGTGCACACATGTCCTCGCCCCACCAGGTAACTGTCATTATGTCACTATCACTGTCTCTCCTGTCCCTCTCTACGCGCAGGTAACCGTCATTGTGTCACACGTATCCACTGTCCCCACGCAGGTATTTTGCATCAGAATGTTTGTTTGATTGCATGTCATTGCTTATTGTTATGTCACTGATATATATACAGCACACTGGATACCCTTTAATTTTTTTGACACAAACCTATTAGCAACCTATTAGTGCTGTGGGTTTGAGATACAACTGCTGATATCTGCTGATATTCAGTGGGTAACTAATTAACTATGTGTACGCGTTCTGTTACGGTTGGCTGTTTTTAGACATGGTGTAGATTCATCTCCATCCAGGGGCCAGAGTATCGTTTAACAATAAAATTTTGAGCCTGATCGCAAAGGATATCATATCTGTATTTTCCTCTCAGTTTTCTTTATAAAACATTTTTCACTGTTTGTAAATGATTTTGAAAATCACTATGCCTTCACTATGCCCTCACTATGCTTCACTATGCCCTCAACTAATATGAGCATTTGAGTTGCTGTTAAGGTATATGTTGCATGTGGTGTGGTAGCGTGGTGTAACGGTCATAGTGTCTTAAAATAACTTGTAGTTGTGTCCTGTCTTGTAGACTAACGTGATCGAAGCATCTCCTGACATGTGGCGGGATACAGAGAAGGAGTGGTACTATAGTGATGGTCACTCGGAGCAGCAAGGGCCTTGCAGCATTGCCGAGGTACGTGGTTCACATGATCGAATGATTACACACTGTGACAAGGGCCTTGCAGCATTGCCGAGGTACGTGGTTCACATGATCGAATGATTACACACTGTGACGAGGACACGCTCGCACACGCACACGCGCAGGATGCATCCGTGTACACTGGCACTGGTACATGCATACACACGCACGCACGCACACGCACGCACACGCAC